TATCAATAATAAATTTAGAAAATAAATACAATTTTAGGGCTTTCATTCATAATGAATGAACACCTTTACTTCCAGTAGTTGGTCCATATAAGTGGTGGCCATGTTCATTCATATAACATGCTTATTGTCATTGAAGGACCATACTTTGTATCAGTGGTCTGCTGGTAGGTAATTTACTGTACATTCTCACAGACTGTTTGATCTCAACCTGGATTACTTTATTTTGGCCTCTGGATGCAGAGAGTGAAGCTTAGAGCATTTGCAAAGTGAGAGTGCTCCAGTTCCTCCCCTCTGCTCTTTTTGGTTTGTTTTTTACCTCCTGCCAAAGACACGCAGGGGTAAAACTAGCAGAGAAAGTGGGTGAGGGGAGCCTTCTGCCTTGTAATCTGTGGTAGTTCCAGCTGCAATTAGCCCACCACAGGAATCTGGTTTGTCTTCTTAGCAATTAAAAAAAATCCAGGAAATGATGGCTGAGACACCAAGTAAGACAGCTGTTCCTGGGGCCCATGTGACTGAAGCAGCCTTGGTATGGGAGGAAATTGAGAGTTTTGTTAAGTATGCCATTAGCCTAAAGAGTGGACAGTAACATCCATGCCTCCTTGATGATGACGGACTGGTAATTTGGGGTAAAAAGCATCCATGTACATGTCTTCATTGGTGTGGATCTGTAGGAAAGATTTCCATGTAATGATTGTAATAGAAAATATCAGCTACCACAGATCAATAAACTCTCACAAAGATCAGAGGAAGTCACAGTCTGACTATACTCTGCCATTGCTGTACCAACCAACTATGAGAAATTCTATAAAAGCCCTAGGACCAGAAGCACATTCGGCTCTGGCATTTCTCCACTTTCATAATATATGGGTACTGAAGGAGATTTCTGAGGCAGTGATCTTTCTGCCTTGGGTTATTATGGTTGATTATCCTCCATCTGTAGAAGTGCAATATCTACAATGAGCAGGAACAGAGATGTCTGAATCTCACACACGCGTGCACACACACACACACACACACACACTTTTAAAAGAAGCAAATATACATTCAATGAAATTAAGGGCATCATTATGTTCTTTGGAGCTGAACACACTTGGAACAAGATTGCTATTGAAACAAAGGACGTGACAACCTTAATTCCATCTTCCATGAATTCTTCCAAAGGACCAAGCTCAAGGCTGTCAAAAGCTAGACTGGAAGCATGATAATGATTTATATATGACAGATTTCTCCCTCCAAAAGCTGATTTCTTACTTGATTGCCCAAATACCTTTCCTGCACTTTCCTCCAGTATATTTGATTTACTTGCAGAGATATCTGACCAGGAATAATATTGTTGGAATTTACTGAGCCATGGCATCAAAACCTTGTTTCTTGGAGTCAAATCTTTGCCATCAAAAGTTGTACCAGAAGTGAAACGACAGCCTCTGTCATTTAAATCCTGATTGCTTCATAATCGTCTGACAGTGATGCATTACTATCAAGCAAACAAAATGTTCAGAGTAGAAGGTCAGAGTTGGCATTTTTCATACAGTTGCATAATACAAGCTTCATCCAAGGTTTGTCTGTGTTCTGAAAAATTTGCTTCACAAAGAACTTATTTATCAAGGACTGGGGCTCCTGGAGACAGAGTTTGGGCATTCCCTTGTTTAAAATGATGCAGTGGTTGCTGCACATTTCCTGTGAAGAAAAGCTGCAGTGGGTAGGTCTTCTGCAGTTTAGAACATAGGGGTGGAAAAGGACATGACAGAGAAATGAATGAGAGCATGAATGGCAATGAGTGAAACCAAGAAGAGAGAAAACTCTCTCCCCTTTTCTTTAAAGTATCACGGAGGAAGTAGGTTTCAAAAAAAAGAAAAAGAAAAGTGATCCCATGAGTCTGGAAAAATGCAGTCCACTCTGCCATCTTAAATCTCTCCCACTATATTCTGCTGCATGAGTAGACTAGGACTCCGATGAATTTTCAAAAGATTTGCACAATGTTTATTCTACTAAGCATTAGAGCAAAATAGAGCACCAAATTCATTTAGTCCTTTGATGATTGCATGTTTTCATCGCTGTGACCTACTTTGCACTTCCCTGAAGCATTCAGTCGGCCACTGCTGAAGTACTCGCTAGATGGACCAAAGCAATTACGGAAGGGATGAGAACAGCAGAGTTCTGCTGTGATCCTCTTGGATGAGCAGACACGGAACAGACAATTATTTTATTGAATGGGATATGTGCTGGAGATTGCATTGTTCCTTTCTATCTACAAGGCTTTTGACTACTAGGGCAAGTGGTGAGAGAAAAGGAAAGGGGAAGGATTTTCACATCGTCCCTTACCTCTTATTAGTAAAATGGGGGAAGGGGGAAGGTTGTCTCTGCTTTTAAAGAGACTAGGAACTCCCCCCTTCCAGCCCTCTCTCTTCAAAATCTAGTTTAGATAGAAGTAAGGCTTTCCTATCTCATGTATTTCTTAATAAATCTACCTTTTATTTCAAATATAAAGAATGTCAATGTTCACTGGCAGCCAGGTTAAGCCCAGTGTCTGCGTCCTATATTACAAGCAGTTTTCCTTTTGAATGGGATTTGCTGCTACTTAATTGCTTGGTATTCTTTAGCAATCTTCATAGGTTCAGGAACACATTCTTCAGCAAGGGTTCCTGCTAAATTCAAATATTCAACAACATGCTTTAATTTTAACAGGATGATCTACATGTGAGGCAAAACAGCACTAGATGGAACTCATCTTGAGTTCAGGAATCTACTTCTATCACATCAAATCACTGGCCTGTGCAACTCCACATTTATTTATTGGATAAATATATATAGCGGCCCATCTTGCTATCATGACTCCGGGCAGCTTACAAAGTTGGGATAGCCTGTCTGAATGTGCTGCTCCCCTACCAGCATATTGGTGAGGAGCTCGTGTGGCTTCCCAGAACCAGATTACATTATCTACAACCTAACAAATAGTGCCCCAGGGCTTTTCTTGGGGGATGGGGGCAGGCGGGATTTGTTCTAGTTCTGCCTGGACACACCCGACAATGAGCCTGACACTTTTTGCAAACCTATCACCTGCATCACCAGGGGGGTATAATCCTCTGGGGAGTGACAAGAAAAACTGCATCTGTGTTACAGTGTGTGTGTGTGTGTATATATATATGTGTGTGTGTGTGTGTGTGTGTATTTTTGCGTCCTACAGTTTTGTTTCCTCCCCCATCATCAGTTCTTACCTGCGTTGAATGCTAGATGATAGGCAGCCTAGAACACGGACCTTTCCTTATGTACCCTGTAAAGCGCAATGCAGATGGACGGGGTTTTCGTCTGAGATGAATAAAGTCTGGCATCTCTGAGCACCTTAATTCTGTAAGGTTTTTCAGAAAGCCAAGGCTTGAGAGGTCCTTCTAGTACAGCTAATCCTCCAAACAGGAGCGCAATGCCTCCAGAAGCTTGGGCAACCTCTCCTACCATCCAATCCATCCTGTCATGTTATTCTCCCCTTTAACGACCTGCTTCCTAGCTGAAAGAGCCAGTTCTCTGTCCAGCAGTGGTTCTGGGAATCCCCAAGAGCTTCTCAGGGATATGCTTGTAGGGAAGCAGCACAGAGGTCAACCACGGGCAGGGGAAAGCAAGTGAGGACTGGCCAAGAGGTTTGAGTGATTTCAAGAACAGGCAGCTGAAGGGAGGGGTTGGGGGTGCGTCAAAATAAGAATCCCAGATGCCCGAGTCCAGAGAGACCTAGTCATGTCAGAGTTCTTGATTTGGAAACAAAATGGTACTTGACTCAAGCTAGCAATACTTGTCTTTAGGTTAGGTGATAGGAGTTAGTGTTCTCTTTATTGTTCTTAGCAGCAGAATGTTTAGGTTACCCAAGAATCGAAATTTCCTGGGCATATTATACTAGACAACCCATGACCCATTGGGTCATCATTTCAGAGATCTCTCTTTACCTAAACAGAGAAACAGAATGACCATGGGCAGGGAAAAATGCGGTGAGATTGGGAGCAACTTCTGACTTCCTTCTGGCTTCTCCACTGACTTTCCTTGTGGGAAGCTGGCAGGAAGCATTGGAAATCCATCCTTCCTTCCTTCCTTCCTTCCT